GTTGAGTCCTTCTGCTCCCTTCCTCTGTTGTTCTGTTAGTACTCTTAAGATCTCCTTCACTGTCCTTCCCTGCATCTCCTTTCTCTGGTTAGGGTGGTCCCCTTCCTCCCTTCCTTTGTTGGGTCTGTTGCTGGCCAGGCGCGCTGGTACCGCGTCTGGCTGGCCGCCCCCATCTCCTTCGCGCTGCACTCCCTGCATCGCTGCCATCGCGGTGTCGTTGGGTGCGGCTCGACTCGCTGATTCTAATAGTATTGTTCTTAGTATTTTTCAACTAGTTTCTTAGATTTCAATAGAATGGTGTTCAGTAATTTAAAGATAATAAAGGGCAGGATAACCTACCCTATAGTATTAATTGCAGTAATTAACATTGCCTATTTATAGTTGCTAGGCTAGACTCTAAGTAGCTTAAGATACCTCTTAGACACTGTTACTACCTTAACAGACCCTCTAACACCTATCTAGAAGCTAGTCTTGTTAAAGTTATAGGTATCTTAGTCCTAGATGCTATATTTAGCTTTAACGTTGCGCACAAGGTTAAACTAGGGGCTAATAATAGCTAGATCACTGCACAAGACTCTCTAGTGATCGCGCTGTCTAGTTACCTAAGACTTAATCTTAGGCTTCTAGTTTACAAGGTGCCTAGCCTATTTTTCTCTAACCTTACTACCACCATAGGCAGCTAGCAGTTAATTGGCTATTTCACGTACGTAGCTTAGCGTAGGGGCAAAGCCTTGCGCATCAAGCTTCCTTATGTATTGTATAACCACCTCCTCTTCAGGCTTAGTAAGCCTTAATCTGCTATGGTAGGAATTGCGTTGTAAGGTAGTTTTAGCGCGTGAGTCTTAGAGGGTTAATTAAGGAACATTATAGATAGCAGCAGCGCGCTGTTAGCTTATTAACGCGTTAGATTTCATAGCTTAGATAGCAAGGATTATCCTATCCTTACAAGGAAGTAATCTAAGATCTAGTTATTGAGACATTAGATGAGAGGTGGAATGAGGTGTGATCTTGGCAAAGGTGGCCGGCTCAATTGCCTGGCCGACTCAATGGCCGATTACGTTATCTACTAAGCGCCCTTTGCTAACTGTTTAACCTACTTATCTAACAAACTTGCTAGAGACCCTTAATAGATTTAAATCTACTTTTAAATTAGAGTTAACTGCTCCTCTACTTTGTAAGTACATCAGGAAAAGTTTTTCTGTTGTTAAAATCAGGAAATCATGGCATTGTACTATAGGCAACAGTAGGACTTGTAGGCCTATAATAGTTATTTAATGTGCATTCAATGTCTAGCTAATTTTAAGCTAACAGCTCTAACAGTCCTAACAGCTATAATAGCTACAACAACTCCTAGTCCTGCTATAATAGTAGCTCTGCTTAATAAACTATACTTTTATTATATTAATATACTACTAAGTCTCCTCTTTAAAATAAGCTATTAAATAATATTATAGGCCTATTAATAGAATAGTTATTAAGCGTAGAAGGTTTTAAGCTTAATGTTCCTTGCTAAGACACTAAGTTAAGATTCTTTGCTAGGGCTCTAGCAGCCTGAA